GAGGCAAGGCTTCTTTGACCCACCTTTTCTAGGGTCATCCTTATGTAAGGCAAGCAGGCCATCCCTAAACAGGGCTTTTTGGAAATCTTTGTAGTTGCCTCAGGGCCCTTATGTCTCTCTTGGATGCTTGCAACCATCTTGCCAAGACCTTCAGCCCATGCGCCTAGGCAGAGTTTTGGAGAAGTGGAGGCTGCCTTAGGCCTGTCACCCCCTCTTTAGACCACTGAGCCAAAATCCAAAGGCCAGAACAAGTCTAGTGACAAAGAGGTTGTAGCTTCTGCCAGAGAGCAACCTGAATAGAGCTGCTAACTGTCTGTTGCTTCAGCGTGAGCACTTTTTTCTGTTGGAGTGAGGTCCCTTAGCCTTTCTTCAACCAAGAAGTGTCCACAAGGCAGCAGAGGACACAGTTTAATGTCATCCCCAGAACGTGTCTTGTGCCGCTGACCTAAATTATATCAGGCTTCAAAGGGACAGGTAAGTAGCCATCTGGGATAGTCGTATGCAGCAGGCAGCTGTGATAACACCTCACCAGCCTCTGAGGTCAGCTTTGGAAAACATTACCCTGAATTAAGCTATGCAGAAAGGACCATCTGCTGGTGTAACTTAGATGGGTAACTTATCTCTGATTTTTCCTGATTCAGTTCTACACCGTGTTCAAATGAATTATGCAACAAACAGTCCCACACTTGTGTGTCTGCTCCATTTCTGTGCCAGTTTCAAGATTACTTTCACTGGTATAAATGTGGTGTTTGTCTAGGCTGGAAGCCTGTAGTTCAGTCCCAATAGTTTTGGTCAAAATGGTGGCTGTTGCACCAGTCCTCTGTTACATTAATTTCTCATGCTGCTTGCGGCTCCGCTTCTATGCTCAGGTTGCTGTTTAACTTACTTTGTTCTTGCTCCTCTGAGTCAGCAGCTCCCCCACATCCAATTCCAAGTCAGGTAGCTCCCACTAGAAGGGTGCTGGCACAGCGTATTCAGACTTTTATTTTTATAACTTTTACCGAACTGACATAGTAAATCCTGTCAGAGTTTGGCATTGCTGAAACAGTTCACCAGAACTGCTTCATCTCCAGGCCACCCATCTCTGCACAAGCTCTTACACTATTTTTTAAAAGACAAGTTGAAATGGTGCATTTATGTGACCTGTGAAGTAACACAGTAAACCTATTGCCTGGATTTTACCTCTGTCTCCAAAATTGTCACCTCTCTCCAGATAAGGATTAACTCCAGACCCCTCAAACCAGTGTTTCTCGTAGATGCAAGATTTATAACTGGAGGGTTGTTTAGAGATCTACAGTCAGTGCAGTGTGGATCATGTGTCACATCCATCTTCAGCGTGATATGGTGCCATAGCCAGAAAAGCAACAGCTTTTCTTCCTATTTCTTAATAAGTGACTTTGAGTGACAGCTGTGCCTTGAAAACTGAAAACGTCTTCCCCACAGTTCAGGCCTTGGGCACTTTGCTGAGTTGTGCATGAGGACAAGAGGGAGAGGTTCATACATATGGTGATTCAGGATGTAATAAGGGGTCAGAAAAGTCACTTAATAGGATGAAAGGCTTGAGAAATGGCATGTAAAAAAGCAGAAGTATAACACAAGCTCTCTTTAGGCCTGAGCAAACATTTTAGATCTATTCAGCGCTTTTCCTTTCCTTCTTTGTTAATGGGATATTACCAGAGAAGATGTTAGGCACAATATTGAAAAGTGCAACAGCTGTTAGGGAAGTTTAAGAATACAGAATGTAAAGGCACCTCTGAATGTTGAAATGCTTGGGGGTCGTGCACAGTTATATGGGAAAAGCTGACTGCAAAGTATGCCGAATGGAGCCTCCAAGCAAGGTGACTAGATCCAATAAAGCAGTGCTTTGAGCCCGATATTAAAAGGTGAAGATAGGATTGCTTTGAAATTCCTCATAGCAGTGTTCTTCAATGCTCTTTTCTATGAAGAATCTTATTTCAAGGCTCTGGGTCTCCATAAATGATCAGCAACTGAACTTCTGCAGCTCTAGTAAGGTGACCAAGGGGAGGCAGAGGTTATTTTTTTTATAGAAGGTGATTTAAACTGGACTTTCAGTGTAGTTGTTAATGCTGATGGCTGTCTGCACTAGGGAGCTGCAGATAGCATTTTTAAGATTGTCTTTACTCCCACGGACAAGCTGAAGTTCCCTGTATTCTGTGAAGGGTAGCTAAATGATTAGTTTTTTCCAGACAAAAGGAAGCCAAGTATTTTTGGTGCTGGGTGGTGAATGTGCTCCACTGCCCCTCACATTGAGTACTGAAGTAAAGATACATAAAACACCTATTTGTTATGCATCTTTGCCTTCCAAACCTCCTTAATTTCAGTGTCATAGGAAGTACTAGACAAGTAACTGGTTACTTTGGTGGTGTCCTGTATTAGTGACCTATCCCAGCCACATCAGATGTGCTTTTCCTAGTTATAGATCAGTGTGGGGATCAGTCTTTTTGGCAAGTGCAGCACAAATTAGGCTTGAAGCCTCCCCAAATGCCACTCTGATCCCCTGCTCAATCTGCTGCTCTCTTTTCTGCTCCCAGCCTACTCTGCTCTGCTTTCTGTTTCTTGCTTTCTGCTCCCTGCCCTATTTGCCACTGTGCTGCCTGCCCCATCCCTGATCTGTCTTGTGCCACAAACCAGGGCTGCCTGTGCTGTGGGTTGGCCACTCTTGTTCTAGTCTATGGCTTCTAATTAAAAGTCTCCTGTTACAGAAGCTGGTTGTACACCAGAGGCCTGATTTTGCTCATCCTGGGTCTCTGGCATTTTTGGGGGTGGTGCAGTTCCCACAGTGAGAATGTAAGAATAAAGCTTAAATAAATCGTGAGCACTGTTGGCTGTGGGTGAAATGCAGCGCTCTGGCTTAGATCCTACGTAGCTGTAGGGAAGAGCTGGCACATTCTCAAGGTGAAGCACAGGCATGCCCAGCCAGGGACCACGAAGAAGACTTCACTGTCATTCCTACCTCCCAGCTACTACATTAGTGTAGGTGCTGGAGCAAAGGCTGCAGCGCCTTCTCATCGCTTACATGAGTCTATGAACATGGGATTGAAGTATTGGCAGCAGTAAATCTGCATGAATCAGCAATTCTACCATAGCTCAGCCCTGTCACAGCGTCCTTTTTTAGCTGGTTTAAAGCAGGGGCATGCCTGCATAGGTGTTCTCTGCCCTGACTTCCCACACAGCCCCAATTCACCCTGAGTCTTTACCTGGCCAAGTGCCCAGCTGGTGCATTTCACTTTCCTAGTAGAACATTTCCTCTTTCAAAAGGGAGATCAGCACCAAAGCATGGAAGCTTTCACTGTATGTGTTGAAAGGACTCTGGTTTTTCTGTCTGGCCATAGCTCTGTATCAGCTTGCCTGCATTCTGCTCTTGTGAAATGACTGTTCAGCTACAATCAGGCATTGCCAAAAGTATTTAGGGCGCAGTTCAGTTCCTGTTGCACCTCGCCAGTGACAGTGTGAAGAATGTTGAAAGACCATATTGGTGTAATAATCAACCCACATAAGTGCTGGGAGGTTAATTGGAAAGTCTCCACAACCATCGGACTGCATGAAATTGTGGTGTGCACTATTTACACTAATGGTTTGTAAATGTTCAGTGCTGCACTATTCATGTGGTTTTAAAGTTCAGCCTCCCTAACACAATTGCTTGCATGGAAAAGTAATGTTAGGGAAGTCTTTGATGCCCTATTATGGCTGGAGAGGAGGGAGAAGTCAGTTGTATGTGAATGCTGTTGAGTCAGGTGTTAAGACATCACTTTGCATAGCCAGTCTACTACATTGGAAATAAAAGCACTATATAAATTGCTTACTGGCCAGTTAAAACCACAATGCCTCCTGCAAACCAGCTGATCAGAAAACACAGTTAACTTCATTGGCAAATTGCTGCAGCCAGTCCAGGGGGTTTTATTCATTCAGCTGATTCAGATGCAGATGTTGGGAGAGCTGAGTAAGAGGAAAAGCGGGAATGTTGGGCTTTCCATCCCTATTATGACATTGGTGCATTTAGTTTTTAGAGAAAAACAAATATCAAAGAGAATGATAAGTGTAACAGCTGTACCTAGAGGCAGCTCCATTGTGCTCAGCATTTGACAGACGTGAAGAGATGGGCCCTGATCTGAGAGGTTAACCATCTAAATATATAGGAGAAAAGAAGTCTCAAGTATTAACCATTTTAATGGATCGTCAACCGAGGCACTACATTACATAGAGGGAATTTATAGCAGAGCAGAGGCCTGGACTTACAGCCTCGTCCTGTGTGTAACCATACAGCATTGCCCAGTAGTAGTGCGAGATGATGACAGTGTCCATGGCAGCTGGTTCAAGACAACAGGAAGTTGCTAGCATGTTAGTAAGAATAGAAAGCATTTTTTTTTATAGTTTTAGGGCAAATCAATCCACTTTGGAAATGGATCCCTTGGCAAAATGATTTTAGCCCTTAGTAATGAAACCCTTCCTATTAATCAACTTGAGAGAGGTTTGTGTTTTTTTACCCCATGTACAAGTCTGCAAGTCCTCCAGAACTGTCACCATGCCTCCCTGCCATAGAGAAGTGTTCCTCACACCCTAACAGAAAGGGGTGGTGATTACTGCAAATCTCTCCCCCAACCTTTGTGAGGCTTTTATTGTGTGATGTAGAGGATTTCATGCCTGAGAGCTTCCAATAAAGTCAGAGCAATGTCCAGCAACACCCAAGGAAGGTATTTTCCTACCTGTATTAACTGCATCTTGGGACATTCAAATTCTGCTCATGGAGAAAGTGACATGTTTCACACATTTGCAGTGTTTGTATGTGAGGTGTGACAAGCCGCCAGGGTGAAGTTCAGAATCATATATTTGTACTGTGTGTTGTAGAGGGAGCAGCAGGTATTTTCCGTGTTTCTTGGGAGAATTTAGATGGTGAATACTGACAGGTGCTTTGTATTGTTGTGGCACATACAAGCCCCTGGCATAGACCGGTAGGTGCTGTACTGGCACCGAACAAAGAGGCAGTCCCTGCCCCAATGAGCCTGCAGTGTAGGCAAGTTGCACTGCTGACACTGCCTTTATTTTCAGGTGTCCTGGTGGGTGTCATCCTTCGCTACGGAATCCATGTTCCCAGTGACATTAACAATGTGACCCTAAGTTGCCAAGTGCAGACCAGCCCGGCCACGCTGTTAGTGAATGTCAGTGGGAAGTATTATGAGTACACCCTGAAAGGCGAGATCAGTCCCCAGGAGCTCAATAATGTCCAGGATAATGAAATGCTGAGAAAGGTAAGCTGTTTGGCATCTGCAGTCTGTGCATGGCCTGACTCTTGTCAGAAGGTCGGAGACAGTTTGGGCCAAATCCTGCACCATTTTGAATCAGTAAGCATTTTGCTTTTAACTTCAGTGGGGGCAGGATCCAGGTAAAATGTGATTCGGAACATTTAATATATTGAAATTACAGGAACTAATTTGAATTTGTACTTTTTGCAACAAATGATTGCATTTTCATGTTAGATTCTTGTCTGTTCACAAAGCTTTTGGGCTGAAATGTCTCTTAATACATATAAAGTTGACTGTTGCTTCTACCTTTTTGTCTCTCAAATACCAATTCCACCTTTGGCTTTTTTTCAACAGGTGACATTTGACCCTGAAGTATTTTTCAATATCTTGCTCCCTCCAATTATATTTTATGCAGGATACAGCTTAAAAAGGGTAAGTTTTCATTTTAAAGTTCCCAGCATTTTAGAGTGTTAGTTCTTAGAGTACAGCAATATAGTGCCAAGGTCAGCAGGCCACGTTTACAGTATGTGATACCATATTCTGTTGTAATTATCTCTAGAATAACCACTGCACAGTATCAGAGCCTAGTGTGGTGCATACAGAAGGGAATTTTGTTAGCTTTAAACTCTCTAGTGTTTCAGCCTACAGACTTCCCTAAAGCACAGCGAGTACAAAGGATCAGTTACTGGAAATCCCATACAGAAGGATGAAGGCCTGGAATGGACACTCATAGCCAGCTTGGGCTCCTGCGTGTGTTTGCATATTGTGTGTGGGTATGGAGTTAATGTGGCATGTTATCAAGGGCTGTGAAAAGCAGAGGCAGGGGAACTGGGGCTTTAGTGTGACTGATCACTGAGGGAGAACATAAGCTTCCTCAGGAATTCCCCTGGAGGCAGCTGTTAGAAACTGTTTACAAGTCCTTAAGTAAAATTAGGTCATGTGCAGCCTTTTAGACATGGGCAACAGGCTGTTCACTGAACAGCCAAGCCTCAGAAATGCTGATGTGTGATGAAGGAAAATGAGCCTGTTTGGACCATGTCCTTTCTGTATTGCACATCAGTTCCCCTGTACTCAGCAAGAACAAGCTAGTAAAGCCACCTGGTAAAAGCAAGACATTTTGTCCATTAGCAGCAAGTAGCACTGCAGTAGCATCTGGGGCGCAGTTATGGATCACTCTTTACCTAGCACACAGTAGTCTTTGTTCCAGAGATCTTAGATGAAATACCAACATTGCATTGATTCATATACCCTGGCACATGTACTCACTTGAAAATAAAACAGCAAGACTACTGTAATGCTGTGTGTGCTTTCTCTTCTAGAGGCATTTCTTCAGAAACCTGGGCTCAATCCTAGCATATGCCTTTCTTGGAACTGCAATATCCTGTCTTATGATAGGGTGAGTATTGGAAGCCTGTTTTCTTTTGCAGTATGGTAAACAGCATTGGCTTAAAATGGAGTGAAATAGAAGCTGGGACTCCCATTCTAGAAATAGAACCTGAACCCGAGTTCTAATCCCAGCTCTGACAAGTCACTCAGCCCCGTCGTTGCATGGAATAGGAATATTTATTTCCCTACCTTTAAACAGTGGGTGAAGATCAATGTGTGTCTTGACTTGGTATCTTTCCGTAACTGCAGTGAGTTTAATTTTATATATACAATTATAATTGTGTATGTAAATGTAGATCTCTCTCTCTCACACACGCACTTTAAAATTCTCCGTAGTGTCATAGGTCTTGCGATACCAGGTACTACTTTAAGCCATAATGTGTAGGATTGTGCAAAAATTGATAAATAAAATAACTAGCAGAGCAGTCTGACAAATAAAATGCAGCTTAAAGATACAACCCTGAATTGTAATAGTGCCTACACTGACTTGGCTGGGTTTCTACAAGTAGAGCTTTAGTATTAACTGTAGAGAAACTTCATGGGGAATAAAGGCTTGAAAAGTTTTTAAGGAGCAGTACAGAATGCTACCATGGTGTGATCTGTTCTTCTGGTACTTGAATGTGACCAGACTGGAGAAACTTGTTACAAGAAGATGTAACTTTAAAAACAAAATCATTTAGGTTTTCCCAGCTTTTTTCTTTCTTTTTTAACTTTCTTTGCCTGAAAGCTCTATGGAAGTGTGCCTTTTCTGTAGTGGAGGGAGTTGTCTCCTTCCACTTCCTTACTACAAAGGAAGACGGTTGTAGTAAACAGTAAATTTTCTCTTTTCAGAAGCCAGTCACCTAACATCTTCCCAGGTCCACCCTGTATGCTGTGCCTGATCTAACCTGTGATTAGCAGAGCAATGCCCTTTAGCTAGTAGGTTACAATAGGAGCATAAGTAGCAACAGCCAATACAGTTTTACATTTAAAAATGCCAGTCGGAAGCAAGACAGTAGGGGAGTTTCATAGTTTATAGTTTCTAGGGTTGGAAGGGACCTGAGCAGGTCATTGAGTCCGACCTCCTGCCATGGCAGAAAAGGGCACTGGGGTCAAACGACCCCAGCAAAGTGTACACCTAGCCTCCTCTTAAAGACCCCCAGGGTAGGAGCCAGCACCACTTCTCTTGGAAGTTGGTTCCAGATCCTAGCCACCCTGACTGTGAAGTCGCACCTCCTGATATCTAGTTTGAATCTACCCTCTGCCAGCTTCTGACCGTTATTCCTGGTCACTCCTGGTAGTGCTTGGGGGAGCAGGGACTTCCCCAGTACCTGCTGGTCCCCTCTGACTAGTTTGTAACAGGCCACTAGATCCCCC